TCTGTTTCCACTGCAGAGTCAAACTGACTATACATAGTGCTGCTAAATGTACAAAGTAAACAAAGTGAAATAGAGAAAATGTCTCCTCTGCTCTCTTTCAGTTAAGTTATCTGATGTGTTGTGTGTAATAGTGTAACAAGGTGGCAGGGATAAAGGCTCTTCTGCTGAGCCACACTGTTGGCAGGAATTAGAATCCTGCAAAAAACTGCTGAGTAAGTACTGCTGATTGCTTGTGGCAAGTGCTGTTTGTTAGCTCCAATAGGATATAAGGGAGGTGGAACCAGCTGTCAGGAGAAAGGGAATTGGGGTCTGAGACAGCTGTCTCTGCAGGGAAACTATAGGAACAGTCGTGACAAGGAGAAAGTTTAGTTTGAGGTTTATGTTATGGTGGTGATTCAACTTCCAATAAAGTCAAACCCCAAGAAGGTGGTAAGTTTGAACTCTGACTATGCAGGGTGGTGTGGGAACTCCACCTGTTCAGGTAGGAGGCAGAAGAGTGTTTAAGCTGATGGTATCCCTTTTAATGGTGAGAATTTTGTTAGTAGCAAGTCTGGCAGTTCTCTGCACCAACCCCTGATATTTGTGTGTTCTGTCTCTCTTTCCCTGATGGTTGCGAAATAAATGGAATTTCACTTCTACCCTTCTTAATGTTTGCTCACTTCTCCCTCAGGAAAACGACTTCTGGATTGTAGCCTTGCATCCTCTCGCTGCCCTCACAGGCTTAACAGAACAGGAGGTTTCTGCCTTGTCTTTCTCTCTCCCCTTCTGCCTGTTTCTACTTTTACTGACTCTTTCCTACTCTGAAAGGTTGGTTAGTTCAACAGGATTTATAACCAGGGCATTATGAAGAGTGCTGTAAGTTTTCTGAAAGAAGCTTCATAATTTCATATTACTAAACTAACTGAATCTAATAAAACCAGTACTAAAACACTGATAGGTTCTGGGGATGTTTACTCTTTAGATGAGATAATCAGTCTGCACAACTATTAATAGAAGTCTTGTGGCTAAGGCACAGGACTTGGGATTCCAGACCTGGCTTCTATTCCTGCCTCTGCCATTGACTTCCTTTTTGACTTTTGGCAAGTCACTTCCCGTCCTCCTTTTTGCCTCAGATTCCCAAACAGTAAGATGGGGATAACACTTTATGCCCAATAGGGATGTTGAGGCTTAATTCATTAATAATTATACAGCATTTTGCGATCCTGATGGAAAGCCTTAACATGGGCAAAGAATTATAAACCCTTTATGAGCCTCAGATTGGTGTCATTGCTCACGTACTTTTCAATGCCAATTTTTGTTAGCATAAATTTCAACCTTAGAGTCCATGTTCAGGCAGACTACCTTTTAATATAACAACATTGCAGGATTTGCAGCTGACAAAATAATGGGGATGCCTCAAAACAGGTATAAATGCCTTTACCAACATGTCTCTGAAACTATAATGCCCTTTAATCAACACTCTTCAGAATGATTTTTTTAAAAGATTACTATGCAGTAAACACGTTCTCTGTGTCATTTCACTGTAACTTAAAGCGTATTAAATAGAACTTTGACAAAACACAGCAACCATGTCTTCCTATTTAGCGTGTTTCATATTGAGACCTGGCTATGTGACCGTTCAGATGGTTATTCAGAACCATAGATAAAAACAAAGTTCTTGCTCGGAAGCTGATAATGTGCTAGCCAATGCAGTCAGGGATGCATTCAGTTATAAACCATCTTACAAACATGTGGCAGAGCAGACTCTGTTTCACATGGTTAGACTTTATATCCACTGGCCAGGGAAGCAGTGTCAGCCAGAACAATGTTTAGTTTGAAATATATTGTAGACAGGGCCTTATACATTTAGCCAATGTCTAACCAATAGCAGTCAAATTTAGGGATCCCATTCTGATTACTCTTTGCTTGTGTTGATAGCTGTGGATACTGATTCTAGGAGCCATCTTTGGGTTTTCTTCTTATGGACCAATTGCATTGTTTGGAGTGATAGCAAATGAGAGCGCACCTTCTAACCTGTGTGGCACCTCCCATGCTATTGTTGCACTACTGGCCAATGGTGAGTGATACTCCCTCCCCCTCACACAAAAATCTCAAACCTCAGAACCTTTATTCTGTAGCAGCAAGAAGCCCCAGTTCCTGATTATCTTAGTCTGGCAAGATGAGATTTCAAATTGGCTCTGAAATTCTTGATATGATTAATTGCTACTTAGTGATATGAAAGGGTGTGTCGCAAGCAGCACATCTGAGAGAATTGGAAGCGAATGGCTGTGCAATTGAGTCTGTTTATTCAACAAATTAAGTGGGTCTCTGAAGACCTAAGACTGTCACTGAGCAACTTCCCTAATCTCATGCTTGATTCTCAAAATGTTTCATTCTGCTGCCCACCATGAAGGGCTCTGTGGGCCCCACTGAAGACTGCAGTCTGTACAAAACCTTTGGAGACTGCAGATATCCATATTCTTAACGGGTTGGATTTAGAGATGGATAAGATGGACAAATGTGAAGTGCATTTTTTGTGTTGGGCCTTCTGGGACCCTGGTCGTCATACGTCACCTTTAAAGACTTCTTGTTAAAACTCCTTACCATTGAAACGTGGGCCTTTACCAGTCCAGTGAAGATTTAAAGATAAAAGTCCAGTGTGCAGAGGGTTAACTTATTATCAGCTGCTTGCGCCATGACAGGTTGCGACTCGTTCCTTGCTTTCATAATAAACATTTGTAAATAAAGATAATTGCAACCACAAAACTTGTATCTTCTCTGATAGCTGAATAGGAATAATTTGCTCCCCTGAGTTTTCTGGCAGTGAAAACCTCCAATTTGGAGGAAAGCGTGGCCATAGCCCATTCACTGAGGAACCCTGAAGGAGTGACCCCAAGAAAAGAATCTGGGCTACTGAGTGACTAGCTCTGTTTCCCCAGGCAGGACAGAATTGTTCTCTACTGTATGTTATAGTGCTTTGTCCACTGTTTAAAATATCTCAGCTATCTGTCTTGAAGCATTTTTATAAATGCAGGGACCAGCACAAAGGACACTGTCAGTAGGAGAAACTGTAAGGTTCTGCTGCTATTAGGGACTCTAACTCTGTTCTCTTCTCCCCATTATCCTTGCAGTTGGTGGTTTCCTGGCTGGATTGCCTTTCAGTACTATAGCCAAGCACTACAGCTGGGCCACAGCCTTCTGGGTAGCTGAAATAACATGTGTCATCAGCACCATAGCCTTTTTCTTGTTACGGAACATCCGCACCAAGATGGGTCGGGTGCCCAAGAAGATTGACTAAAGATGAGCTGCAAAGGTACTAAGGATGCTCCAGATGGTATCTAGGGATGGCAAATGACTACTCACTGGCCCGGTACTGAGTTTCCTACCAATGCAGCCTAGATCAGAATATTTATCAAAACTTCATTTAACTTTAATCATATTCCTGTTTAGAAAGGCACAAGATCTTCAGTGGCTGTTATGTTTTAATGCCTACACAATTTTTGGTTGTTCAGTTATAGTTTACATCTCATGACCTCACTTTACCTCTTACTTAAAGTACTGGTAGTCTTGATTGCTAAGCTAGGAGTACTGCAGAAGACTGGTACCTGCCTAGCCTTCTTGCTGCTGGCCTCAGATGTAGTGTTACTCTCAATTCACCCTCATTGCTTACAGAAGTATTAGAGTTAGCCAGCACTGAGCCTATTTTCATTTACCTCCACTTGCTGTTGTAGGTGCAGCTGTGACCCAGCTTACTCTGCCATGAGCTACCTGCTGTGTCCCCCTCCCCAGAAGCAGACTGCTAGCCTATTACTAAAGAAAAACACTGCTTCCCCAGCTATTGTCAGAGACTGAACAGTTACTGGTCCACATATTACTGCAGATCCCTGCCACTGCAGCAAAACTGCTCCCTTTTCAGTAACAGCAAATGAGTAAAGTTCTTGGAACTTCATTCAAGAGATGGAAGTACTGTACAACAGTTACTTTTTGTTGTTAAATTAGTCACCATGGCTAACCTCAGAGTATTAGTGAACTGCAAAACAGATGGTTAACACCAAATAGAATAGTACTTCCTGGAGTACCAAGGAAATTGGTTCAAGAGTGTATGCAGTAACAGCATTAGACACATACACACTTTGTACAGCTCCTCTCTTTCTGCATTATCCAGAAAAGTCTTTAAAAGAGATTTTTGTCATTAGGTTGTAGATGATTATTTCTATAAGTAACATAATCAATTATATTGTCAGGTGAAAGTGTAAATTTCTAATGGCTCCAGTTTGCTGAACCAGGTACAGCATTTTTAGGTTAAACTACAAGATAGGGGCTGCTTACTATTATGAATGCTTGTTAGCAGGAGCATTGCTCCGTGGTAGTAAATATGTCATGTGTTAACAGACTTTTCTTATCAGGATTTGTGTGTGTGTTCTCTGCAGGGTTTTAGTTATTTAGAATGCCTGTAGGTAAGCAAGAAGCTCAGCGGCCACCACTGTAAAGCTACCTTCACATAAGATTTGGCTAAATATTGTACAAAAGTAAACTACATTTGGTACTTAAGCATGAGTATTATGAAATACTGTTTATCAACTAGGAAATAAAAATGGAGCACTGCAATGGGAGCATGAGATTTCTTGGGCAAAGGGATCAAGAAAAAAGGGTGAGCTCTTCCCCAGAGGCCAGTGCTGGATGCAGGACATTCTTCTTTCTACACTGAGCAACCTTAGTGAGAAGCAGTCATTTTATGTTGCCCTTCCTGCTGTTATTCCTCAGAACAGCTGTGCAGACACAAAGGAACTTCTTTTTTCACTTTATTAATTTCACTCATGTCCCCTGCTTGAAATCCATTATTCCTGTTTACAGAGAGGTAAGCTGAAGTGTTGCCTTCCACTGGGGTTCTGGACACAGTAAAGCACAGCTTAAGCTAGAATAGTTTCAGATGGTAAAACAACACCAGCATGACAACCAGGCTGCATGTTTGCACTAGTTCATACTAGCTCTAGCAGGAGTGAATGCATCCAGTCCAAGAATTAATCTATCCACACTTTAAGGGAATGTTTATTACTTGTACATCCAAAGTAACCATTTGTCTGAGCCATAAATTAAAGCTGCAGAGAATTTTTATATATATATAAATAATAATGATATATATAATCATTTCTGGAGATGATAAAAGCAGTTTGGGACCTCATGACCTCCTCTCTTGCTGCTGTAGCCAGAGACAGGATCCTGAAAAGGCTGACTAGTGAGGAGAGGCCCCATACTGACACTGGAAGAGTCCTATGATCCTGGTCCAAATGGTCCAGCTTTTTCTGCTACCTCCAAAGCAAGTTTCAAGTTTTGATCGAACAGCTCACACCTGAAATATTCACAGAAATACAGGCATCAGAATCGGGTGACAATCTCCATCTACAACCTAAAACACTGGTGTTTTTAATCAGAGAACAGTTAGCTCGAAAACAGCCCCATTCCTGCACCAGCTTCTCTTCCATTCCATACTCTGCTAAGGGCGACTTTTTGAATCAAAAGACTGATTAATAAAGTGAGTTCAGCTTTGACATGCCAAAACAGTTTCAAAAAGAAAGCTTAATTGCCACTTTTATAGGGGTTAAAAGTGCAATAGGGGCCCTGCCAAGAGAGAGCACATCACATTGCTCAAATGGAACAACTCCAGAGGTTTCCTCCAGCCTTTTGTAGAGGACAGGAATCAGACTGGTGTCCTTGGAAGACCTTCTCCAAGAACTTGGCAGCGCTGAACCTCATTATGGAATTTAGTTTAATCATGCAAAAAGTTAGGGTTTTGATTGACGCAGACACTAGTTTTGTTTGAGGCACAAAGTAGTCAGGTATGCTACTAGAACTCCAGTCAGCAGCCCAGGTCAAAAGAGAACCCAGCAATCTTAGGTTTATTTTTAGTGGATAGACTCAGGGAATGGGAGCTAAAGACATGGGGTCTGCTTCCAATTCTGTCACTGTCCAAGTAACCTCAGACAGTAAAATCACCTGTCTGCTTCCCCACTGTAAAATAAGTATGTCTTCTCTTCCACAAAGGGGGTCGTATTAATGGTTGCACAGTGCTCTCAAAGTGGAGAGCTGAGCAAGTGCTAAGTACCTTGTTATTCTACACATCATCTGCCTACTCCCTACCTGATTGGCATCTCCAATGAGTAGAAAGGATTTTTCAGAGCAAAGTCAGAATAAATCTCATAGATCTTTCGCAGAAGGGACTCTATCCCAGCTTGCCGTGGATCAGCAAGCACCACAAATTTGATCCCTGGAGCCATAATGAAAGAAGTATTAGCATAGACTACACGCAAACTGCAAAGGTAATACTATGAAATATATTCCCAAATATAATTGAAAAGCCCTAATTTACAGGAAGGACGGGAGAGCAGCTGACACCGTCTGAAGAATATTTAAAACTTGCCTTGTTTAAATTATATAGAGAAAGATTAATGACTGAGTAGTGTATTTTAGCAAGCTACCATTCAGGGTGTCAAGTATCAGAGGGGTAGCCATGTTAGTCTGGATCTGAAAAAAGCGACAAAGAGTCTATAAGGTGCCACAGGACTCTTTATCGCTCCATTCAGGATGTGATTTTACTTCTAGAGCACAGAGCATATTTTGTAACATTGCTACTGTGCCTATACACTTGAGCACCTCTAGGGGAATCTTGCACTTCAAGCACAGGCTGGGTTTTATTTGCAATTCCTCAACTAGATTCCAGACTTTAAAGACATGTTGGCCAATTGAGGCATAGACAAGACAAGCTAGTTTCCCTTGCTGTAAAGGGGATAATTCCTGGGTGGTGAGTAAGCAGTTGCAGGTTAATTCATATTTGTGAGGTACTTTGCCATTTTAGGACGAAAGGCACTAGAAAAGGGCAAAAGACAATTATTTCAGTATCCAGTTAGGGAGCACCAGAAGTATACAAAAGGATTTACAAAGAGCTGATGGGCCTCTATCCAGAGGAACTGACAATCTAATTCAGAGAAATACCATATGAATAAAGATCAAGCACAAAAGCAGTACTTTTGCAGCAATATATAAGTCTAATAAATACTCCTGAGGGCATTCTGTGCACAATATTTTGAAATTCTGCAAGTTTTGTCAATAAATAAATGCAGAGGCTCCAGCATGGCAGTGGGGAAGACGCTGCAGCCTCCCCACCCTGGGGACACAGACTCAGTGTTGAGGCTGCACCTGACCCTGGGGGGAGGGAAAAGAGAGATCTGGATGCACAGAGGCTCAGTGGGGGGGGGGGGGGAGGAGGGAGAAGGAGTTTCCAGATGCAGGGGCATTGGGGCTCTGCAGGGGCTTCCAGGTGAATGTGGTTGGGGGCTCAGTGGAGGGGTCTGGGTGCTGTGGGAGTGGAGCTTGGTGGGGATCTGGGTGCAGCTAATTGGGGGTCACTGGCATGGGGGTCTGGATGTCGGGGCTTAGGATGGGGCTCATCAAGGTAGGGGTCTGAGTGCAGGGAGCTCAGTGGGGGGTGGTCTGGGTGCAGGGGGCTCCAGATGCAGGGGTTGAGGTTCAATGGGGTGGGGTTTGGATATAGAGCGATAGGGGGGTTCTGAGTGTATGGGATGAGGCTTGGCAGGGGTGTCTAGATATGGGAGGTCCAGATGCACAGGGGTTGGGTGGATGGAGGAAAAGCTCCCTGTACAGCAACCCCTCTCCCCTCAGCTGAGGAGTTATGGGGGCAGGAAGCAGGGGAGGATACTGAGCTTCCTGCAGCTGGGGGTGGGTCTCACACAGCCCCAACCACTCCTTGCAGGGGAAGAGGAAGTCCTGTCTTCTCCTGCCTCCAGCCCAGCCAGGACTAGCAGCTGATCCCGGCTCAGGGTAGGAGCCACTGGCTGGAGTGTCCCCAGCCCTGTGGTGATTTACCTCTCTGCCGGCTGCCTGAAACAATGTACCTGCACAGCTAGGGAGTGCTGCGTGACTGCTCTTGCAGCTTCCCTGTCAGGAAGTCATTTTTCTGCAGGGAAGCAAAGAAATCTGCAGGTGTCATTAATTCTGCGCATGCACAGATTCCCCCCAGGAGTAAATAAAGCAGTTTGTACTTGTCTTTTCAGAGTGAGGGAGAAACAGCCTCAAGGATGAACTAACAGGGATAACATGAGCAGTAAGTCTTACCTGTTAAGGTCTGAAAACAGTGTAGTTTAAACGTGTCTGTTTCTAACATCTCAATACCAGAACTCCCCAGCTCAGGAGACAACTGGGACCCAATTGCAAACAACCTTCACAAACAAAGGGAAATTATTTAAGTCTAACACAAAAGATGCCTCTTCAAGTTACTAGGGATATGATAGTGTATACTGGGTCCCTTCTCCACCCTCAATTTGTCTTTGGGAAGTGTACCTTCTTGGGGGCAAGGAATGTGTCTTCCTCTGGGTTTGGCCAGTGCCTCACAAATGGTGGACATTACTACATCAGTGCCATGGTAACCAGGGCACAGAGAGCTAGACTTCCCAGTGCAAACTCACGAGTGGAACATGGAGGCCAGCATAAGCTTCTCATTGGAGGAGAGGCGAGGCCGGCCAAAACGGATGGACACGGGGTAGTTGGTAGGGTTGCCAAGGTACTCCAGCACCTCCTTCCCATCAGCAGTGTATTTCCCATTCACATCAATGCCATTGATGGAAAGCACAGCATGTCCAACTGAAAGAAGCAAAGGGAAGAATCAGAGCTGAGGCTTATTTGCTTTCAAATGAATATTGGAACTAGGAACTCCAATAGCAGACCTGACCACTGGCCTCTCTAGACCTGTCTTTAGGAGGAATCACTATTAGAGTATTTATGGCTTAGCACAGCCACTGTTAAAGTGTAAATAGTGTCATGACACTACTTCCCACCCCGCAAGCACAATCAATGTGCCCCAGTATCTCCCAAAAGCACAAACTCCCCCCCAACACCTCTCCAGTGAGCACAGCCCCCCGAACCTCCCCAGTGGCCGGTACCAGCGCCCTAACCCCCTAGTAGGCACCGTCCTCCCCTCCAGCTGCCGGTACCGGCACCCAATCCCTCCAGTGCCCTCAGCGGGCGGTACCAGCCCCCTGCCGGCCATAGCTCCCCCCCAGTGGCCGGTACCAGCCCCCTCGGCGGGCGCTACCAGTACCACAGGCCTCGCTGGCGCCTCCGGCCGGACACCCACCCCGGATGCTGTCCCGCTGCCCGAACGCCACCACCACGCGCTCGTCGTGCAGCTTAAGCACCAGGTCCAAAGGGAAGCTGAACGTTTTCTCGGTCTCGGATCGCGGCGCGTAGTGATCCAGCTGGTAGATGAGGCCGCCGGCCTTGTTCACAACGTACACGCTGAAGATGGCCATGTCGGCTCCCGTCAACTCAGGGCACTTTGGGAGATGTAGTTCTATGTGGCAGCGCAGTGCATTGTGGGAGAGACAATTATTTCCGATTTTGGAGCGTTGTATTATGGGAATTGTATTTCTTTCCGGTTGACCCGGACGCGGTGTTGCTACGTGCTCCGGAAGTGCAGTGAAAGCACGGGGTTTCCCAGACTCCCTACCCAGGCTTTTTCCTTTTTCGTCCGACATCTTGCAGCGGCAGCAGCACCACCACCACCACCATGGTGAGCCGGCCCCAGGGTCTAGCTCCTCGGCTTGGCCTAGGACAGGGGTCTCTGTGAGAGAGCCGGAGCAAGTGGGTGCAGGTTCCCTCGAGGAGGCCTAGTCCTGGACTCTCCCCCGTTGGCAGGCGCCCGGGTGGGGAAGGCTCATGTTAGGGCCGCGTGGCCCGGCCTCACCTGTGCCGCGTGGAAGCTGGGGAGAGGGGGCTCCGCCGTGGAAGCTTCTTCCCGCGCCCTCGACGGGCCTGCGCCTGGCGGTATCGGGTGGGGGCGGATTTTTCCCAGGGCTGGCGCCTGCCTTCATCTCTCCTTCTCTTCCCCCTCCCCCCCTCCCCCTCCCCCCCGGTCTCTTCTTTCTCCAGCCCCCCAAGGACGATAAGAAGAAGAAGGATGCGGGGAAGTCCGCGAAGAAAGACAAGGACCCAGTGAACAAATCTGGGGGTAAAGCCAAAAAAAAGGTAGGAGTCTGCACTGCGGTGCGTGAGTCCACTGGGCTCTGGGGTGTGTGCTCAGCAGTAGGGCCTGGGTACTCAGCAGAGCACTTTTGTCACTAATTATTTTCTGCGTGCCCTCTGTAAGATGAGCCTGTATCCTCTCCCTTAGGGGTCTAGGGGGCAGAGAGCAGTAGCTATAAGGTCAGTTTTCCTGTGTAGCTGAGCCCTAGACTGTGCTTAAGGTCACACAGTGAGATAGTGTATTGTTCTATAATTAAATCTCTTTCTTTAGTCATACTGGTAAATCGTATTTAAGAATTATATAGGAGGGTTTCTCCATTCAATATTTAACAGTAGTTGTGACTACAGACTAACTCCTTGGTGACTGGGAGGGAGGCTTTCAAACAGAGATTTCCCTGTGTCATAGAGCTCTTTAACTGTTGTTTTTTTTAATGTTTGAAGTGCTTTAAAATAAATTATATTAATTCCTAATTGCCAACTGTATGTCTTGGACCCCATGTAGAAATAAGCTGATTAAACATGTTAACAGGTTATTTTAAACCCTATAGTCCCTTGGAGTTTAACTTGACATAATTATTTAAGAGGGAATGTCATGTGATTATTGAAATTAGGAGTATCTCTTCAACACTTTATACTTTTGAGTTGCAAGGGGGTAAATTGCAACCCCCTACCCCCATTAGTATAAAGGTGATCTAAAAGACTTTTCAACACCGAAGACAGTTTCACTTCCTTGGTAAGTATAACATCATAATCCTAAAAAGCAACAGTGTGTCTTGTGGCACCTTTAAGACTAACAGACATCTGTTAGTCTTAACGGTGCCACGAGACTCTGTTTCTTTTTACAGATCCAGACTAACACGGCTACCCCTCTGATACTTTACAGCATAATCCTACTAATTTTGGGATGTCCCATGCTGTTACAAGGTAGCTAATGCCTGAATTTCAAATGTGAAAATTGAGCTGGTTGGGTGGGAAGTTTAGTCCTGCTTTATACATCACAAAGAAGCAAATGTTAGTTTCAAGTTACACTTTGCCACTTTTGGGGATGACTTACTGATGCAGCATTGATAGTACTGAGCAGACCCTCAAGTGGCTTAACACAGTATGATTGAGTAATAGTGGTAAACATACCTGATTGCTGCCTGCTCTGGGATTTTCATTTTGTGGTAGTGTAGAAAAGGCCCTATTGTGCATGTTGGAGCGTGGTGCAAATGGGTCAGTGCTGATAACATGGTGAATAGGTGTCTATAATTGGTGCTCATCTGAGCAACAAGCTTGCATTAGGTGGTCCTGGAGGAAATGCTAATCATGGCAAAGCTTTCATTGAGAGGGTATTTGTGTTGTGTCTTTGATGGTGATGTTCCCCTTTTTCTTCTTGTAGAAGTGGTCCAAGGGGAAAGTAAGAGACAAGCTGAACAACCTTGTTTTGTTTGATAAGGCTACTTATGATAAACTGTGCAAAGAAGTGCCCAACTACAAGCTCATCACGCCAGCTGTAGTCTCTGAAAGGTTGAAGATTCGAGGATCTTTAGCAAGGGCTGCCCTCCAAGAACTGCTCAGCAAAGGTAAAAACACACTGAACTGTGGATTGGGAGCCCTCAAACTAGATGTATTCTTTTATCCCCCTTATTTGTTGGTGATTGATTCGGTACAAATCTGTTTGCAGGTAGCTTGTATACAAAGGAGTTCAATAACGAGCATTTTAAAGTTTTTTAAAATCTTAAGTCTCCTTTCTTTCCTTATCAGTCTAATATTTTACTTGGCATTTTAATCTCTCTATAAGACCACATCAGAATTGATGTAATCTGTTCCTACACAAGTTACTTGTGTTCATAATATTTTTAAATATAATGCAAAAAATTATGGATGCTTGATACGCATAGTGTCTGAACAGTAAGATCCTACCTAGTGTGGAAAATAGTGTCAGGAGATGACTATGTAGCCAGGTCCGCTGACAACCTAAGTTCCCTCTAAGCTGCACCGGCCGCCCAGCCTGCTATAAAGTGCTTTGCACTTCAGGTCCCCCTCCTGCCCTCTACCTTGGAGCTGCTCCCCAGAGCCTCCTGCTTGCTATAATTATCCCTATGAGTCCTTTTAGAAAATAGATATAGATCTATATCTATCTAGGTTTGTGTCTACTGGCCTCACCTTAATAATTTGGTGCACATGAATGGAAAAAATTAGGGGGCACATTGTTGACAACTGAAAACCTGGCTCAGTTTTGCAATGGTAACTGTTCCTGGATCATGCTAAAGTCCTGCTATCCTACAAAACATTTACTGTTGGGACTACTGTGTTCTAGACAGGACCTTTGACTCTGGTTGCCAGGGGCGTTGATAGGAATTTATTTCAGTGTTCCTGGTGTAGAAGGCACAGTGGAACACTTATTTCAATCTAATTCTGTTATTTAAATGCTGTCTTAAGCTCTTAAAGTTTCTGCACATTTCATAAATGTTTTCTGCTTCCTTTGTAGGTTTGATCAAACTTGTGTCCAAGCACCGAGCCCAAGTGATTTACACCAGAAATACAAAGGGTGGAGATGCACCTGCTGGTGGGGAAGATGCTTAAAGTGAGGTGCTATTGAAATTCTAGAGTTGCAGGTATCCCTTCCCCTCTGATGTACACATGGTTAATAGAACTGCTAGTCAAAATCCTCATGTGAATTCCTCATGGTGGACTCCTCCAGTGCCTTGTGGAATCCCTGATATTAGGAATCTACTTCTAAATAGAGTAAAAACACACAGCCATATAGTGCTGAAATCACTAAAACTGAATTATTGCCTGCCCATGAAATAAATTAGAGGTTGTGCTGTTAAATAGTAATGGATATTTGAGAAGATGGGGTAGATCATTTCTGCTAGGCTCACTCTGTGCTTTTTAGTCCCATGGTTGCCTTTTTATTAAGGCCTCTCTGGAATTTGCTAGGTGGCCAATAGCTAGCAACCAACCATCCAAACTCTTCTTCATATATATAATCACTTCATAAAAAGTGTCAGTTGTTGGAGGACTTTTCTTTCATATCACAAGTGTTGCAGTAAGACAGATTTTATTAGATGTGTTCCACACAACTGATTGACTAACTCACTACTTTTTGCTTTGCAGGTTTTCCAGTCGCCTCTGCACTATTTCTTATGTAAATGTATACAATAAAATTGTTGAGTTCATTTTTGTTTGCTTCTTATTAAGGGGGGAGAGATGGAGTTAAAAAAAAGCCTCATATGCTTTTTAATGGTATAGTGCTGATAGCTCTGGCCAAAGAAGCCTTGGACTCCTTTTAATCTATGCTGTAGGACAGCACACTGAAGTCCCACTACTACTAGTAGTTTTAATAAAGGTAGATAAGCAAAATTAGTTCGAGTTCATGTTTTCTATACAGGTGGATTGTACACTCTGGTAAATAACAGCACTGACAGTGTCAGAAGTTACACACTTTGTACATTAAATATGAGGATGTGTGTGCTCTTTCATTGAAGCTCAGATTTTGGTCTTTTTCGGGTCTTCCTTTGACTGTCTCTTTCTTGGCTGGATTCAGCTTTGAACTGATGTCTTAAAAAAAATGAAAGTCTGTTTGGAGAATGCAACATGCTAGGAAACATACTATAATCAGCACTACAGAACAGCAGTTATCATAGATGCCCACCTCTATGCACTTTCAGGTGGGGGCATTAGTTATCACAGTCTAAATATTTCATAAGGATGTTTACTGTTCAGGTAGCTATGGCAAACAGCACCTCCTGTAATTCAGTAGTGTTGTTCACAAATCTAAATCAGTACTTTATAGTGAACTTCAGCCTGTGATACCCCACTACACCTACAACTGTCAATTTATACAAATTGCAGCTTCTTGTGAGAACAGGAGTCACATGATATAAGGCAATGTTTTACTTACAGTGCTGAAGGCCATGTTGCTGCAGCAGAGACATGACTTTGTTTAAAGGTGGTGTGTGAGAGATTTCAGCAATAGAATTTCACAGATGCCAGGCTTTATACATTGAGCATTAACTACCTCCCACTACTTGCAACAAGACATCTATTTAAAATAGATTACTACCCCTCTCAACAATCATTTGAGACATCCCTTTCCTACAAATTGCCAACATTGTATACATACAAGGAACCCTACCTCTTGAATTTGTCAGCCCATGAGAGGTAGATGCTTACCTGGATTGCCACCGCCTGCCATGATTCCAGACCCGTCCGAAGGAGGGAAGCCAGCCTTCACCTGTCTGAGAGGTGTGATCAAAGTTGGCACCAACACGATCTGCTGGAAGCTTTTTCAGCTTCTGCTTCTCCTCTAAGAATCATTAGTTCAGAGAGAGTGAAGAGGTTCTATCAAACATTTTAGGTAAAGTTATAGGAAAAAATGGTTGGGAGAATAAGAGTCTGTCTGAATAGGTAGGGTGGTTTTTTTTGTTTGTTTGTTTTTTCTTACTAGAGTCGGACTAACTGGAATTCATCTCCAGGATTATCAGAAAATCACCATTACCTAGCCTCTATGCAGAGTTTAATGTACCTCATCTACCCTGCACCACTGAAGTCTTATACATAAAGTCATACTGACTTTGTAGTAGACACTTCATTCTATGTATAGTGATTTGCTTTTTAAATAAAACCAGAATTAAAAAAACTAGACCTCACCTCAATTATTCAAGTAGTAACATCCAAAGCCACTCACTTTCTTTGAGAAATTCCTCATATGAAGGTCCAATCTGCTGTTTACTTCCAAACTCCTCTTCATCCTGCAGCAGCCAGGGAGGTTTGGCGCCTAGGAGGTAATAGGGAATGTGCTTGGCTACTGAAATAACCCTAAATACAAACCCAGGGGGAGAGGATGGGAAAAGTACCCCAAAATTTCTGCATAATTTCCCTAACAAATCAGTGGTGAAATAGCTTCTCCTGGAAGTACTATCCTTTGTGCTTCCTCCTTTGTGGAGAAAATAAAGGACTACGCATCTTAATTTTCACAGCTAAGAGCCATTACAGTTCATACTTTGCAACCATACAGTTAGTTTCAAAGGAGTTTCCATTATAAGCCTGATTTTGCTCCACCCAATTCTAATACCTAAAATCAGTCTGAAATAGTTAACAATTCTCACTCCTGCCATAATTTTATGTTTTAAAGTTACTTTGCAGTCTTCTGCTGGGTTCAGCCCAGAAATGTTTGATAAGGTTGTAAATGTGAAACCCTGGCAACAATTAAACATGTACCTGTGTGAACATTTCCCTTCCCTTCTGATTCCTGTTTTCAAAAAATTAAGAAAATCCCAATTAGAACTGGATGATTAAAAAGAGCAACTTTTATTGTAACTTTGTACTACCACAGCAGAAAGACACTAAAAAACTGTAACAGTTAATAAACTATTGGATTGCACAGATCTTCAAGTATGGACAAATAGACAAGGGGAACCTAATCGAAAATAGTAGCTCATGGGAGTGCGAATTCCATTTGAAATTCCCTTCCCCAATGAAACTTTGCAATAAAGATAAACAAAGAGGGTAAGGGTCTTTTTCTCTATCCCCATCTAACAGATTAGCCTGTGCTAGGGATCTATCATTTTCAGTGCATTTCTTTTAGGAAACATTCAGTTAGTGAAACAAAAGTCCCATGTTTCAGGGCTGAGAGTTTTTTGCCCACTCAGTTGCTGAAATCCATTGGGTTGCTTTCTCAGTAGCTATGCCATTGGGGAAGCCTACAAACCATAAATCTGATTCTTATTAAATGCTAAAAGTATGAATTCCATTAGCTACGATCTGAAATACCAGTACCCATGAAAAACGGAAAGTGACTCTGTAAGCCCCTCTCCAACCTTACCTGGTGGCCAATAAAAGTCAGAGCATGGTTTCCTTCCATCCAGTCTAAATCAGGTGTTATCTGAATCACACTTGGACCAAGCTGCTCTTCTGTGATGATGGTGATGTCACTAGAACACAGGAGCCAAAATAGCTTGTCAGATGAGGCATTTGGTATCCAGACAACAGCAAGAGAGCAAATGTTTTTCAACCTACACCATGGAATTGTTAAATAAAAGTTCTGGGACACAGGTGAGGCATAAATACTTCAATTAGTGTGTTCAGGTTTGGAGATTTTTAATGGGGAGGAGAGGAAATTCAGCAGCAGCTAACAATAATTAGCATTTATAAAGCACTCTGTCAGTCTAACTCTTTGCAAAGTTTAGTCCCTAAAACACCCTTTTGGAGGCACCTTTTCAGAAAGGGTAACATTAATTGTTTGTTCTACGATACTGAAGGAAAAATTAATTTGCCCACTAGGGGTTTGCAGATGGCTGAAGGTGCCTGCTGCTGCTCTTGAGAACTGTTTTAACCCAGAGAAATGGTACAGGTAAGTAACAGATAGTACAGTGATAACAATCATCATACTGGCCAGGGAAACAGTGTAGTAACTGTCTAGATAATTGCTATTCATCATTTCACCAAATTCAAAACTCCTAAGCAGAGGGGGCATGCACGATGATATAAAAGGCAAATTTCTTACCTTTTATGCCCTCCAGGTGTACTGAAGGCAGATGATTCATCGCAAAATTCTGTCCCTGTTTGAGGCTGAGTTTGATTCAGGAAAAATAAAAAATTTTTCTGGTATTCAACAATAAGGCCCTTCCTGTTTTATGAGACACCTATTGCAATCATACATTCATGTTTATATTCGGAGGGCAAGGAAAATGGGAATTTTCAGTGTAGATACTAAAGCTTTTTGTTTGCCCTGGCTCTGCAGTGCTAGCAAGAGAAAACAAATACGGAGAGTGAGCTGTCTTTTCAATGGCTTGTAAATCACCAATAGAATTGTAAGCTAGATTCAAATTGCAGAATATTTATTACTGATGAGGATGGAGCCAGACTTACTTAAGGAGTTATAAAGTGCAATCTTTTTAATCTGTAAATAGAGCAATTTGAACTGGAGTCATTGAGTGAATCTACAACACCACAATGCCCTTTCTATGGAGTCAGACAAATTTTGCACTTTTTAAAGATATAAAAGGGCCAATAACTTTACCTGTTTTGTTTGAGTATAGTCAAAAGGCCTAACGGATTCCATCCCCTGTAAATGCAAGACTGAATTCCCAGCAAGAGGATATATCTGGTTCCAGGTGCTTCTTTAGAGAATGCAATGCATGAAGGGAATATACATACTAGTATCTTATAAACAAGGGTATTTAAGTGTCTAGGTTTCCACAAGTATTAGGGGGTAGCCGTGTTAGTCTCTATCCACAAAAACAACAAGGAGTCCGGTGGCACCTTAAAGACTAAGGCATAAGCTTTCATGGGTAAAAATGCATCTGAAGAAGTGAGGTTTTTTACCCACAAAAGCTTATGCCCAAATAAATCTGTTAGTCTTTAAGGTGCCATCGGACTCCTTGTAGTTTTCCACAGTGCAGGTATAATAGTACATTTTATTCCAGATTCCTTCTCGGTCACCCACGTCCAACCCTATCCTAGAAGAACTAGCAAGGATAAGAAGATTTCAGTCACAGTGATCATTCAAACATAAGCACTGCACTATTTGTAAGACTGATAACCACATCTGAATTAAGCCAGAGATTTGCAATCACAGAGCAGCAGTCCTATCAATTGTCACATCAGAACCTCCCCACTGGTAGGTGAAAGAACAAGTTATTAGACGTAAATTGTATGTAGTTTTAACATAAGAATCAATGCAGAAAGTAGCCATCTATAAGAACTCAGAGGGCTTGTGGAAACAATCAATCATTTGCTGGATACTGCTCAGGTGCATCCTGGGAAAACAAACCTCTAAGACCGCATGTACCATTTCCTGTCTGCTCTGCTCCACTTCTCGGATATGGGATGCCATCTGGAATCGAACAAAGCAAGAAATAGGATGAGGACAAAAGGCAAAGCAAACAGGTAAGTCAGGTAAAGCACACCTAGGGCATCTCTGTTCACCTCTTTAATGACCTCATCCTCTTTTTCTTCGTAAGCATCCAGAGCTTTGACAAGTGAGGATTTGAACCTGAAAGAATATTTGAGAGATCAGTCACTTTTGTGGCATGATTTAGTCTGACAGCTGAACTGCTGGGAGCTGGGAACACCTGAATTTCTACCTCAACCTCTGACACTGATTCTCCGTGCCTTAGTTTCCCTATTTGTAAGAGAGGGATAAAAGGCTTACATTTGCAGGGACCCTGCAAGGATTAATGAGTTACTGGTTGTAAAGCCCATAGAAGATAAGCCATGATGAATGCTAAAATTTTGCTATATATATATATATATATATATATATATATATATATAATGACTGGAATAAACACAGGACTGGATAATCTTATGACTCAGCTTTTTTTATAATTATGCTAATAGAGGTTGAGCTAATCTTATGCTCGACAAAGTGAGGTGATCACTTGGGGAAGTCAGAAAATCATCCCTAGCACAATGTAACTAGCCAGGTGCTGGGGATGATGGTATCAGATATTGTTTGTTGCTCGAAGCAGGAGTCTAGGCTAATTATTTATTTATACAACACCACAAATACACACACTAAAACATCTCTGTTCCAAAGAATTTTGAATCAATAGTTGGATCTAATGTAGCAAATTCTATACCCCTAAGCAAAGAAACAGACAAGGCGCCTATATACCGTTCATAGTCCTCAGGGGAAATCAGAAACTGCTGCTTTAATTTTGCTTCTGCTTTGTTCTCCCACCAGAACTTGTTGGCTTCTTTTTTATGCTCCAGGCTTTAAAAGAAAAAAAGAATAAAATCAAGTTTGATTAAATCACTTAAAGCCTGAGCTCCCAATCTAAACTAAGTAGAGAGCACGTGATTAATAACTGGCATACATATCTCGTTAACAGCTTATCTCAAACAGATAGAGCAGCTTTTTGGGTTGCCCATGGCTATGTGACAAAAACTAGAGAGGTAAGGATTCCAAGATAAACGGATATTGGAAGCAGGTAAGATATGCTGTAGCACTACAGGTACTGGTTTTCATTGCTCATTAAAGCAACATGAAAAAGCAAAGTGTATTTTGTGCAACCCCAATTTTAGGGTTTAGCCTGTTTAAAAGATCAGTAACAAAGTCCACATTCAAAGGTCTGTTTGGGCATCACACACCACTAAAATCTGGTGTTTGGTTCATGTCCTTCTCCGATGTAGAATTTTGGCAGAGTCATAGAAGCCTTGAAAGATGCACGCAGCACATCTGTCTCCCTTGATAGTTGTATCCTGATCATCACTGTAGCTGTAGAGTGTGAGCATTTCTTCTTCCTATATCTCACAAATTTAGTCCATACAAAAGCCAATGAAAGCTGTCTCTGAGCAACCACACTTTAACAAGGAAAGATTTATGGAACAACAAAGTGTTATCTCACCACCGCTATACAGACCTTGCACCTCATTTTGGTAACTTTTTTTTAGAAGTACAATATTATACAGACCTACCATTAAAATATTATTAGTGAATAATAATACCGGAAGAGTTAGGAGTCATTTAAATTACTAGTTTAAAGTTACGTTGTGTTAGAGTAACTAGATTTTAAGCAGTGGGTTTTCTTTAAGATCAACACTTCCATATCTGAATTGTCATCATGTGCCCCCCGGGAGGCCCTTAATGTAGATTCTATATGTAAATAAGGTTGTACACATTTTAGAAATATACACTGAAGACCATCTTGGGTGTGTTTTCTTTAGTTATTTACTTCTGGAGTGGACAAATTAAGAAAGCTGTACATGTTAAGCAACTTGCATCAAACACTTTAGCATTAGTTCTCACAACCTCCACGGAAGATCATGGAGGTAAACAGAAGGGAAGTGACTTGCCCAAAATCACATGGCAAGTCAGGGATAAGGGAGGAATAAAAACTAAGGGCTGTCAGAAACTTCAGTAGAACTGAAATTATGTTAACTTCTTGTCCTACACAAGCATATCTAATTGGTTACAGCAGGGATCTAGTTACTAACTCCTTGGTTTTATTGTCAGCTCTGCCACTGATTCACTATATTATTTGAAGCATGTCACTTCATCTCGGTGCCTCAGAGTTGAGGGGCTGTGCACATACAAAGTATTATTAAACAACATAACATCCCCCAGGATGCAGATAGGGCTGTGGACACCCTACCTGGCCATGTGCTGCAGAAGTCCCCCATGCAGCACTGTCAGGCTCCCATGGCTCAGGTGCCTTTTCACCTCCCGCTTGCAGCAGAGACACCAGAAGAGTTGATCATGCTCCCCTGCCTCATACTTCACAACCACTGCATTTTTAATCATCTTCCGAGCCAACTGCACCTGATTGAAGGAGGGAAGAGAGGTAAATTAGCTGCTGTTTACCAATTTTTTGAAAGCTGGGTCTCTTAAAAAAAAATGAAATTAATCATGGCCCCTACAATCCCATCATGTGCTTGAAAAGGGCTATGCCTCTTATTGTATACATCTTTGGCTCATGCTCCTCCACCCAGCTAGTCTTCTGAACTCTCATCTCCCCTTCCCACATACACTTTAGTAAACACTAATGCAGATTTTTGTAATATTAATTATCCTCTCCTTTCCCACATGCTTTCATGAGTAGTAAAATAATTAATGTTGATGTTTAGGCTTTGTCTTCACTGTAGAAAAAGCGGTTGTTTACATAGAGACAGGTATCTCAAGTTAGCTATCTCTATGTAAACAAGTAGTGACAAGGCCCAAGTAGTTTTTACATCAATGTCAACCTTATATCCTCCACGTTGGATTTACATCAACTAGCTACATCCAGATAAAAACTACTGATGTCTCCAGTAGGCTTTTATATCGACATAGCTATCTCAACATAAAAACACACTTTTTTTCCCCAGTGAAGACTGAGGCTATGTCTACACTACACAGCTTTTAGTGACCTGGAAGTGTCGCTACAGCCGTGCCGCTAAAAGTCTCATAGTGTAGCTGCTGTTTGTCGGCTTGCCGACAAAAGACTTCCACTCCCAATGAGCAGAGTTAGCTTTATCGGCAGGAGAGTGCTCCTGCTGACAAAGCACTGGTCACACTGGCGCCTTGTCATTAGCAAAATGTTTGTCCTTTGAGGGGTGTGGTCTTTTTTTTTTTTTTTAAACACCTCAAAGACAAAAGTTTTGTCCTTCACTTGCCAGTGGCATAGCCTTAGCCATCGACTGGCATTGGCATTAGTAGCCATTGAAATGAAGAGGGCTGGTCACACCTCAGAGCTAGTGGCTTGGATAGCAAAACTCCGTTGGACATCTCTGCAGCATTTACACTCGCTTCACATTTTGGATCTTTTCTTTGCAATTGGAAAAGTTAGAAACTTACTTTAAAAAAAACTCAGAAAGGTGGGCTAAGGGAGAATGGCAGTGTCTGGTTACACCCTTGTGGCGGGTCTCCCACCCCAGAGGCTCACAGCCCCATGCTCTGGGAAATGCTGACTTAGTTACCACCAAAGACGAGCGGTGTGAAGCCCGATCACCTCTATTATTTCGCATTTAGCGTGCGGGACAGATCGGCACTCTATGAGCCCATTTTCCTGATGGGGAGGCGTGACTCACCCCAGGTCAAGCCGCGAGCTGGTCTCAGAGGTGGGGATAGAACCCAGGCGTCCTGGCTCCCCGCCCCCTCCAGCTCGACGGCCGGCTCCGCACCCCGAGCTCCCTGCCAAGCGGGGGCAGCAGCTTTCCGCCCAGCTACTGGAGGGGCAGCGGGAGTGCAGAGGCTCCCGGCTCTCACCTTGGCCTGCAGCCGGCCGAGCGCCTCCCGCAGCCGCTGCTGGTGGCTGCCGCTGTAGAGGTGACGCCGACCCGTGAAAGCGGTGAGGCGGCAAAGGGGGCAGTAAAACACCCCCATAGCGGCGCTACGAGCCCGGCCTGGTAACCGCCGCCATCTTAAGGCGCCTGCCTCGACTGACGACTCTGTGCGCAGCGGTCGCAGAGGCGGGAGCAGCGAGCCCTAGCGGCCGCTCGCCAACTGCACGCGCGCCCGCCTCAGCGCCTCCCCCGGGAGCTCCCTGCGCCACGGGCCGCAGTTCCCTCACCGCCCCCTCAGGGGGGCCCAGGCCCGGCCGGGCTCCAACCTTCCCGCCTCAGGGGGCGGCGCTGAGGCTTGGAGCATTAGGCCAGCCTCTGGGCTGGGTGCGAGGATGGGAGCGTGTGAGGGAAATCCCACAGGTTCCCCTTGATCGATTCAGGGCGCCCCTGGTCAGAGGTAGGGTGACCAGATAGCAACTGTGTAAATTTTTTGTGGTAAAAAACCCATTTCTTCAGATGCATATAAAAACGGGACATCTGGTCACCCTAGTCAGAGGGGATCAGATAATCGAGGCTGAGTTCATGTGGAATTTCATCCAGTAATTCCCACCTCCAGCCTATACAAATTCTGCTTGAACCAGAACACATTTTTTAAAGAGACATCAGCCTCGATTTAAAGACTTCAAGTGAAGTAGAATCCACCACATCTCTTGGTAAGTTGATTCCTGAGATCTTCTCCCTTGGTCAAATCACTTCTCTCTGCACTACACTGTAGAATGGATGATGCTATTCCCCTACCGCTCATGGAGGTTGGGAGGCTTCATTCAGTGATGTGACTAAAGCCTCATCTGCACACAGAAGTTAGCTGCATAGATTCAAACTGATTTACTCTCATCAGTCCAAACCTTGAGGTGGACCCTCCTAAGCGAAAATAATAGTGGCATATTTTGGATTAGTTCAGACCTATTCTAGTTGACTGAAGCTAACTCGAAATACACCTGGTAAAATGAATCCACACAGCCTTTTGCAGTTGTTTAACTAAACTGGTCTAAAAATCACACCTTTAGTTAAACCAGTGCCACTTTCTCATGCAGACATTTCTGAAACTCTTGGACAGAAGGCACTGCAGAGGGCAAAGCATTATTTTATTCGTTTCCACCAAATGTGCTCTCAGCACTTGCACACACTTTATTAGTTTACTAGAAAACCCAAAGAAAAAAATATGTATTTTCCTTTTAAAAATACTTTTGCTTCTAGATAGCTTACTTTCCTCAGCATGCTTGGACTGTGCAGCACTGTTGTATTCATTGCTTTTGTTGGTAGTGTTTTTCTACCCTTTGTAAAGCAAAGTGGTTTATATTTCAGGCCCAGATCCTGCAAATTATCCTGCATGAGAGGACACTGGCACCCACACAAAGCCCTGTTGAAGTCAGTGGGGCTCTGCATGATGTAACCTGCAGGATCACAGCCTTAGTCAGGAAATCAATATAAAACAGCATTCCTGAGATCTTGAGTCAATTTTTCAAACACGCATAAGTGATATAGGCTCGTAGGAGCCTAAGTCCCATTGACTTGAAAGTCAGTTTTGAAAATTGGACATAGGCCGAGTCTACAGTAGAAAAGTTTTGCTGGTATAGCTACACTGGCAAAACCCTCCTAGGGTAGATGCGGTTATACCACCAGAAAAGTGCTTTTGCTGGTATGGTTTATCTTAACTAGGTGAGCAAATTAAGGTCTTGTCTACATTATAGAAGGATTGCCAATATAGCTATATCAGTATAGTTCATTATACCAGCAAACCCTCCTAGTTTACACACAGCTTATACCAGTTTCCCAAACAAAATAAGCTATACCAGGGTTCAAAAATGAACTAGATAAGTTCATGGAAGATGGGTCCATCAATGGCTATTAGCCAGGATGGTCAGGGATGCAACCCCATGCTCTGAGTGTCCCTAGCCTCTGAGTGCTGGAAGCTGGGAATGGATGACTGGGGACGGATTACTTGATGATTTTCTGTTAATTTCCTCTGAAGCACCTGGCATTGGCAGGATACTGGTCTACATGGACCATTGGTCTGACCCAATATAGCTGTTCTTATACTGGCAAAAGCAGCACTGTTTTCTGATATAAGTGCATCTACCCTAGGGTTTATATTGGCGTAGCTATGTCAGTAAAAAAATCACACCGCTAACCGACATCACTTTGTCAGGAAAAGTTTGTAGTGTAGACCTCGCGTAAGCTGTACTGGCAAAAGCACTTTTTTGCTTGTATACCAATGTCTACACAAGGGACAAGTCTATACTACAAACTTTTGCCAACATAGCTGTGTTGGTTAAGGGTGTGATGATGTGTGGTCTACAATTGATATAGTTGTGGCAACAAAAGCCACCAGTGAAGATGCTTTTTCTGGTATAGCTTATTTTGGGGTGTGGGGGGTGGGACAATGAAGAGGAGGCTGACATGGCTATACTGACAAAAGCACAGTTTTGCCAGTAAAACTAGCTGGAATTTTCAATGAATCAAGAAGTTGGAAAAAAAAATCATTTCAGGTCTAATATGTTTAGTTTGGAGGCATTTTTACCCCCCCCCCTTTTTTTTTTAATAAAAGCAAAGGAAATGAAATTTGGAACAAAGGGCTAGATTCACAAGCAGACTTCCATTCACAAAACCCCAGAAGAAAAGGTAATAGTAGTGGTGGTGGTGTACCATTTATACCCAATGGGTAAGCTACTCACCTGGATAGGAGAGACCCAAGTTTGATTCTCTGGTCTGAGCAAGGACTTAAACCTAGGTCTTTCCCCATTCCAAGTGAGTGTCCTAACCGCCAGGCTTTTGAGTATTGGGGGGGACCTCTAATTTTCTCCTGTTGAAGCTGTTCCACTTTGTATTAAATAATTAAATATTCATTGAGCCAGAGAGAGAAAAGGCAGGAGAATGATTCTAGCGTCCTGGCTAGGGCACTCATGGGATGTGGGTGAGGGACACTGGTTCCAGTCCCTGCTTCAGTGAATATTTAATTATTTATATCAGGTGGAATGGGTTCAGTAAGGGAGATTGAGAGAACCTCTGCCGTAGACTAGCTCTTGGGGACTAGGTCACCTCCCTTTCCCTGAGAGGGGGGAGACCTGGGTTCAAGTCTCTGCTCCAGCACAGGGATTCAAATCAAGATATTCTGCATCACTAGTGAATGCCCTGATCACTGGGCTAATGTGTATGGGGGCCACTATAATAGTTTTGTGAATGTCACCTAAATGTTGGCGTTAGGTGTCCAAGTCCCCTTGTGAATTTAGTATGAAAAACAAATATTTCATTGTGAAAATGGCAAAATGAACCATTATGACATTTCTGGGGGAGGAAATCTTATATTTTTACCAAAACAATTAGCCAAAATCAACACAAATTTTCAAAATGTTTTGATCTTCCTGAATCTGCATTCTTTGATGAAAAAAGTATTGGCCGAAAGATTTTACCCAGCTCTAATCACATCTCTTCACACCCCTGACCAACGTAGCTATGTCGGCTTAACCTGTCATGTAGAAATGGAGTATGTCTACACTACAGCTGCTACAGCAGCATAGCTATGGGTCTGTAGTTGTGCTGCTATGGCATAGGTGCTTTCTACATCAACAGAAGGGGTTCTTCTGTCACTGTAGGTAATCCACTTCTCCAAGAGACAGTAGCTAGCCTCTGTACCTGGGGTTAGGTCGACCTGTGGTTGTCAGGGTGCAAATGTTTTTACAGCTATGAGCAACATAGCTAGCTTGACCTAAGTTTTAGGTGTAAACTAGACCCTTGCCTTAGTCACTGAGATCCAGATCCTCAGAGATAGTTAGGCACATAACTCCCATTGAAATTGATGGAAGTTAAGCACTTAAATATCTTTGACGGTCTGGGCCCTATCTTTAAGTGTCTTAAAAGGAATTTCCCCATGTTCAATAGCATTTTGATCAGTGCTGATGTTTAGCTTTTTCTCTCCAAAATATAACGCACGGAACAGCCACAGTTTTCAGATGTGGTAGCAAAGTATATTGTAATATTCTGTACGGTTACTGCTTTGTATAAAATAATGGTAGTGATTAAAATAATTAAATAAGTTCTTGATCCTGCACACACTGAAGTAGTGAGTAAATTTACACATGTGAATAGTCCCAATGAATTTATGGGGACTGACTACTCATCTCTGTAAAGTTAGTCACATACTTAAGTACTTGCAGGCTTGGGACCTAAGGCCTGGCCTACACTAGGAGATTAGGCTGGTATAATAGGTTGCTCAGGGGTGTGAAAAATCCACACACCTGAGCAATTCAGTTAAAGCAACCTAGCCCCCCAGTGTAGTTAGCACAAGGTTGATGGGGGAGTTTTCATGTCAACTAAGCTACCACCTCTCAGGGAGGTGGTTTATCTTCGCCAACAGGAGAACCCCTCCCACCTAGGTAGCATCTTCACTGAGGCACTACAGCGGTGCAGCTATAGTGGTTTATATGCAGACAAGTCTCACAAACAGTCTGTGAGATAGGTAAGTAGTTTCCTGGACCCAGATTCTCAAAGGCCTAATTTCTGGAAATTAGGCACCTAAATACCTTTCAGGATCTGGGCCAGAGAGCTTGTATATTTGCTACATAGTTACTCGCACCTGCCAAGTAGAGGTTTACATATACTAATAAATGTGGAGGCTTAATTAATTTGATACGTCTGTAACTCTTTGAAACCTCTAGGTGAGATACTAGAAAGAGCAAAGATTATTATAACATATTTATATACTCAACAATCCAATGCTAACTTTCTCTATTAATTCCTTTTACATATCTTTACAATTTCTAGATCAGTGAAAACAAGTGAATATTTCAAATCTGAGGGGTTCTCAGCCTTGGAAAAAATAGGAATCCCTGCTGTAAGTAGCCATTTTTCAAAGTAACTTTAACAAGCCTGCTAATTGGTATTTAAAGGTGCCAATGAGAGGTGAGTCAATCACTGCCTTACTAGCTACTTCTCTATATAAAAAGGATCAAAATGATGATGTTAGAAGGAGAGAATTCAGGATAGCAGTCCTTCATTTGTCTGCAGTCATGTGTGCTTTACTTTTGAAAAGCCGTTGATTTTATTTGTTACCTTGATGAAAAATGTATTTAATCTTCAAAAACAAAAAGGGCTGGGAAAACCTTCATTTAAAAAGTGGCCTTGAGAATTGGGATATGGCTCAGGAACTTGAACTGGCTACTACAACTGATCAAGTTGCTGAAGGTAGGAAACATGCTTAGCATCTCATTTATGTAAATATGATCTCTTGCATTTTTCTATATGATGTTTCTTATACTCAAAGAATAAGATAACTAGCTATTGTTACTTCAGTGACTATGCAAGCCAGTAAATGTAGCTGTTACATGAGTCAAGTAGTTCTGGACTTCCTCAGTAGAACCTGCTATATGAGATGCTGGGCATCTGTGAATTATTGGGGATGATGGGTGCAGTTGGTTTCCTTTACTTGGCTGGAGTAATCCATGAAAGCTTATTTAAAAAAAAAAAAGATTGCTGGAAATAAAGTTATTTGAATGAATTTCATGATAATTGTAATTAAGTTAACTGTATTTTAAGGAAGATCATTAGATACTATAGCTTAGGCCAAACCGTTTTTTTCATTTGCATTTTGTAAAATCTCATGTCTCGTGACTCTCTTTATATTAATATATAAATAACTCTGAACCTTCCTATGTAACTTGTGTAGGACAATCAATAAGGAAACTGGTTACCCTATCTTTATTATCCCATTTGTACAGAGATATATGTAACCAAGCAACATATAGCCTGTAGAGGAAATATGACGTTACATACTTCCAGGTAGCAACAAATTTAATTCCTTGAACTTGGATGGATAAGAAAATTTAAAAACAAAATACTTAACAGGACAACAATTCTCTAAATCCATTAGCTAAGTGAAGTTCCTGCAGACAGAGGAGAAATCTCAGAACTAAATATTATTACCACAGGAGCTGGGACTTCCAAATCCTTTCTCAACACTCGGTGACTTGCCGTATCGCCTTGGGCAGATCACTTCACTGTCCTGTGCCTCAGTTTCCTCACTATGAAGCAGAGATGATACTTCATTCTCACAACCCATATGAAAGATATCTAATGTTTGTACAGAGTTTTCATGATTAAAACAACATAAGCAGTAAGCTACAAAATCGTCTCTAGAATTAATCTTTTCTGAACAGAAACTCTACTGCAGCTTTAACTATGGAGTAGCGTCTGCTCTCTATAAAGCTGACTCCCACAGCTAAAGTCTAGTCCGTTATCTATCACTGTAACAGTGACCTTTAGAACACAGCTTAACTTCACTAGACTTTGGGACTCTACCAGTTGCACTGCTGTGGATATAGCTCCTTTGGTGGGGGCATTAGCATAGATATGGCATAAGCAGCTGCAGGCACTTTACCACCATGTATTGTCTAATCCTGCTGCAAGGAGGCCAACACAACAAGACACTGGTGTGGGTTTTTGTTGTTGTATTGGTTTATTTAGGTGAGGGTATGAGTGGTTTTGTTTTTTGTGTTTTAAACATTTTACTCCAGCATGTATCTAAACAGGTGTTCCATCATTGCTACTAATAGTGGAGCTGTTGCCCAAAAAGTCTGGTGTAAGCATTTTTCATAAACTTCTTTTCCATTTTGCCCACATGCATCCCCTGAAAAAATATCTGCTAATCTGATGGCCTATCTTCATTTGACTTTGTCTTGTGAGGTAAAAGGCTTTTCAGTATCTAAGCTTGGTAGCACACCCTAGAGTGTGTGTATGTGCGTGTGTGCACGCATGCACAATGCAGCATGTTAATGCCAGGAGGGGTCCACGAGCTCCTTACATCACTGAATGGGTGTAGTGAGGAATAACAAATGGCTCGTAAACTACATGGAAATTGTGTGAAATGTATATTCCTTGTCTGATATTGCTGTGTTCAGAGCTCCCTAATCTATGGAGAGTGGGTCTTGTAGGTATACTTTCCAAGTGCTGTAGGGAATGTCATCTTTCAGGATACTTTATTTGTAACTGCTGGGGTCTTCTAAAACTAACTAAATTGAGGAAGTGACAGTTATGATCAAGTATCCAAAGAGATGTAAATACCATGGAGAGAAGGAATTTCTTCAGGATGCTTCAAGGAAGAAGGTAGGAGAAATAATATGAAATTAAGGAAAGATAAAACTTGGCTGAATACCAACAAGCCTTTCTTTGAGGTGAAGTGTTTTTAGGATCTTGTTGGAGCTTAGTTCCCTTCAGAGACTAGTAGGTACTCCTTGAGCTCTGATACTTAAGATTGACAAGTTGCTTGCAAGCATTGACCTGTCTGTGGCTCTGAGGTACAGCAGGGTGTCTGCAAAGTATAATAATCCCCAAGAAGCATATTACAGTAGCAATAACAGATGAGCACTGTCTAACCAGTGGCAACCTAGAATTCTCTGTCATCATTGGTATGATGACTCCAGGTGGTGCTTCAGCAGAGCTAGTGAGGCTAAGGCATCAGGCAGGTGCAAGTTTGATTGATGGGTGTGATATGTCCTTGATTTTAGGTGGTAAGTTGTTTTGTGTTTGTTTTTGTCTTTGCCTGTGGACCAGGTATGGAAAAGGATCTCAGCAAACACTTTCTACATGCTCCATATAAGCATCGTTGGAGCAACTCTGTCACAAGAGAAGCAGTCCAGCCCCCTCTACCCAAGGAGCAAGATGGCAAGTGATGACTCTGGGTTGTGTAGAGTAGGAATATGGACCGGGTTTCCTACACAGCATGGCTCATGTGGTTGGGTTGGCAAAGTTAATGAGGGTGGGCAGGGGAGAAGGATACTGTGGAGTCGTGCACTAGCTAGTGCCTTGATACTCAGACTGAGGCTTGGGAGCTGCAAATGTCTCTTTAATGTGTCTCCTGGAGTTCTTTGCAGCACATATTAAAACACTGATTTAATTATTAACCAATCAGGATGCTTTTACTGTGTTATTAACCAACTGTAGAATACTTAGTCCATTTTGCTGTGAGAAAATGTGTGTGTGTGTGTGTGTAAAAAAATAGTAAAGAAACAATGAATTTACACCGTGACTCTCTTCGGTTATGTTGGCTAAATTGGCTCCTGAACCACTGAAATCTGAGTATCAGGCAGCTAGTGCATATGTACACCATGCTCCCTCGTGCATGGAATGTCAGATTTGATTAAGTGTGTGACAGTTGTCTTCTGGTGGCTGCACCCTATTGAGTCAAAGTCCCAGTACTCTAGCTCACAGGGAGTCTCCTCTAGTTTGTGATAGGACTATAATTTTGAAGTTGGAGATACTGTTGCCTAATGAGCTGTCCAAAGGAACTAAGCAGCTTACAAAGGGGAGGAGGAGGGAACCCCACACAACTAACTTCAACAAAAGCACAGCTTTGCTGGAGTGATCTATCACCTTTGTTTCCACAGAATCTGATGTGCAGCCACACTTGTGGATGTGGGTAAACCCCAACCTGGTTTGCCCCATAACAGGATACCCTAATAAGGGAGTCCCAGGAAAACAAGTGCATTTGGTAGTTCCTGCACCCAAGGCAGCTGTTAGAAAACCTACTTCAGTAAAACCAAGGCCCCCAGTAGCTGCTCCCCTACAAACTTCCTCTGGACAATGTGTTTCAGTGCCCCTAGTAACTGCTGCACCCAAGGTCTCAACTAGAAAATATAGTTCAGTAAAGGCAGTGGCTCTCGTCACTGCCCTGCAGACTTCTCCTTTGGCCTCTGTTTCCATACCCCCGTTGGCTGCTTCTGGTGCTGTGACTCCGCAGGCTTCCACAGTCAAGAATGTTCCCAGAAAACCAGTGTTCCCTGTATTATTGGCAGCTGTTGCACCCAAGGCTTCTACTCCAGTAAAACTTGTACCTCCAGTAGCTGCTGCATCCAAGGCTTCCAACAGAAAACATGCTTCAGTAAAGACTGTGCCCCCAGTAGCTGACACCATGCAGGTTTGCACACAGACACCTGGAAAAAACATGTCCCTGGAAGCTGCAGCACTTGTGGACTCCTATCAAAAGCCAGTCTTAATTGACTCCAAGCAACTCTGTCCCAAGGAGGAGGTACTACTGTGCTCAAGCAAAGCAAAGGTATGTTAGATGGGCTTCATGTGCACTGAATTTCTATGTGGCTTACTGTTATTTTGGAGGCTGCTGGCTCCTGATCTTCTCACTAGCAGCAGCATCAGAGGAGCTAGTGGTAGCACAGCTGTACAATTGAGAGGGAGTGAACAATAGGAGACTAAGCTCCTGCAGTAAGAATCTCTTGCTCTTAAAGAGCAGTCTTTTATTCCAGTGTTGTGACAGGCTCTGTCTTGACTGATTTGTGCACTGTAGGTGTTGAGTGAGGAGGAGGTCTCTTCCACTTATATTAATAGATAAAGGTGCAAATGGAACTCAAGCACTAGACCTTGTGATCAAATGCCCAGCCAGCCCTCTACCTGGGAATTGAAGGAGTATGCCAAGAATTGTACAAAGCTCCTAACTCACTGGTCTCCTAGACCTAGGACTTGCTATAGTGAATTCATCCTTTGGGTTTAGTTTGACACTGACAGGCCCCTGCTTTAACAAAGCTGACTAGCAGTGCAGTACCTTTTTTTGGAGGGGAAGGGAACTAGAGAGGAAATTCCTTCCTGATCCCTGTAGCAATCTTGTCTCCTGAAACGGGTGTTGGTTAAATCTGTCTCATGATTATTTGAAAGGCACTTACTGACCTCATAGGGCCCAGAGTTGGATGGATGCTGAAGTGTGGGCAAGAAATCAGGGAGGTCTCTGCACTTCCTGCAGCTTTCAGAAGGGAAAGGGCAAATGATTGGTAGACTCAGATTCTGATACTTTATTCCAAGCTGTGCATGTTTTTGACCTCCACCATTTCATTACTGAGGAATCTCAAATTTAAATGATCATGTAGAAACTAAGGGAAGGGACACGTGAGGAACTCTGTTAGTAGTTCAAGGGACACAAGCAGCCAATGTCTCCCCCCACACACACACTGTAGCTGCAGGGTGACATCACTGATCAACTGCAGGAGTCTATGGTTGGTGAGCTCCTGCCAGCCAACAAGCAGTGTCTAGCTGTCAGTCAGCACACTATCAGCAACTTATGATCACAGTATTCATTTTTGTTATCTTATCCTTCAAGTTGCAGCCAGGGTACAGCTATTAGATTCTTGGCCAAAGGCTGCATTGGAAACTTGCCTTGTCTACACTGGCCTCGTCTCCTCTTGCGCCCCCATCCCTATATCCCATTAAAACTTCCCGCTTGCTAACAAGTGCAGATGCTAGAATTGCAGCCCTCGGGTGCCCCCTCTTACAGGGAAGCTAGCCAGCTTGGTGTCTTTATATTCTTGATGGACAATAAAAACTGATCTTGGATTCAGTCTTCACCACAAAACTACCCACTCTTCCTCTTACTTTTGTAGTGCTGAGATTTGGTATGACCTGTGACTCCCACAGCCCCTGTGACCTGGATGACTTGACACCTGACCTTCATCTCTTCTTTTTGCTAAACGATGCTGACTTCAAAATGGCCTTTGCCAGCAAGAGGCTAGTGAAGATGGGCTTTGTGGAAAGCAACCCAACTTTCTTCTCACTCTCATATGGCGAACAAGTCAAATGCCACTTGAGTGCAGCCATATTATGTCTTAAACACATGAGGCCTCTATGGCCTGACTTACCTTCCCCTCCGCGTACCTGCCCCCCACATACACTTTGCCCCCTTTTCCACAGAAATACTGGGTTCCTGCGGACTTCAATGGGTGTGGGTGATGCTGGACTCCTGTTCCAGAGTGTATTTCAGGGCAGGTCTGAATAGTTTTGGTTTTGTTGAATCTATGCCAACTTAGTTAAAAGGATTAGACACCCTAATGTATACATGTCTAAAAATCTATTTGTTTTAACTTAGCTTGCAGTAGTAAAGCTTCTAAATTGTGCTGTCCACACTAGCATGTTGAACTGATCTAACCTGTTTCTTTCCCCCCCCAGGTGATCTAGTTAAATTGGTGCCAAAACTGATGTAGACAAGCCCCAGGTAGACCTTCAACCTGTCCTCTTAGAGAGGGAAGCTGCCACGGGGCGGGCTGGCTGGCTGGCACTACAGGCCTGAGCCTACACTAGGGATCAGTTTTGTTTTAAACGTCACTTTAAAATAAAGCTTAAGTCTGCATCAGCTATGAACTTGCCAGGCATCTATTAAAACTTCATTTCCTTTTAATGTTGTATTTCTAATTCTTTAAGCGTTCCTTTCTGTAGACTCTATTCTTGTATCTCTCTCTGGCTTCTTCCAAACAAACTCAAAGTGCTTTTGTTACAAATGTAAAGTCTTTCACCTCTGGCATAAGAGAACAGTCACCTCTGTGCCTTATCTGTAAGCTGGAGTAAAAGTGACTTGTCTGACATCACACATGAAGTCTCTGGCAGAGCTAGAAATAGAACCCAAGTGGCCAGATATTTAGTCCTGTGCTTAGCCAACAGGTCCTTGCTCTACCTCTTGAAGGGTAGTTGCTTATGAGGTTGTCAGGCACTAGATCCAATCTAGACCTGCAATGACATGACTAGCTAAACAAATCAAACCTCTAGCATCAGCAAATATAGTCACTGCCAAGGACATGAAGTAGTCTCTAACCACCACCCCAGGTAAAGCATTGTACAATTACTAGCGGCATGATCAGAATAGGGGGGTTTGCCTTCCTTGGCTCCTGCTGGAGGTAGGATATAGGAATAGATAGTATATTGGCTTATTTTAATAGTAAATTCTAAGTTTTCCCCATGGGAAAGAGGATCAATCTCTACCTGCTGGCACTCAAAGTAACATTAGCCACTTTCTGCTAAGCAAGCATTTTTGTGAGAGAAGGGTGCTAAAGGAAGGGAAGAGCTTCTCAACATACCCTCCCCTGACTTCTGCTCTCTCTCTTGGATGGATCTTTGCTGACTACCATTAATCAGGAATATGTGCAACAGCTCCCTCTGCATCTGACTAGAGTAGAAACCACCCCTCCTGTAGTGACTGTTTGCTAAGTGTGCCTGCAACTCTAATTTAAGAGGCAAAACGTTACTTTGAATGGGCTTTCAAGGTCCTGCTGTTCTAGAACATTGGTCAGGCTCATTCTTAGGGCTCAATCAACTGAAAATCAGCTTCCTGCTGACTAGTGTGACAGTGTGAGTGCTCTCCCTTGTGGCATGAGTGTGAATTGCTCATATTCCTCTCTCTAGTTTGTGAGGGCTGCTTGACTGTTGAAACAGTCACTTGTTAATGTTTCAGCTGTACCAGTAAACATCTTGCTTGCAAGACCCTACAGCAGGGAATAAGAGGGACCTATACTAGACTAACAACAGTTCACCTTTGTGGTCATGTGCTCAGTGGGGACTGAAGTCATGATCCTCTCTAGTAAATGGCAGTTAAGTGCTCCCTAGCCTCCTAAAAGATGAGTGGTGGCAGTAGGAGAACAGAAATCATCGTCAGATTGTACATGAAGGGGATTAAGCCTACCGTGGAAGTGCTTCTATTGGAAAGGATTTCATCTGTGGGGCACTAGGAAGTGCAAGTGTCTTAGGAGTAAGGCCTCCTATGTAACTGATACCTTAAACCTCACTAAAAAGCAAGCTCTGTGCAGTACCTCTCCCTATCTCTCGCACCAAATTTATTTATATAGTTTAATCACACTTTCTACAAATTTTAGCATGTTACAAATAGGGGTAGCATCTGATGTTAGCCTATTAGTAGGTATTAGAGGTAAACAACTTAGGCACCTGTTGGACTCTGAACCATTTATTAAAATGCTGTAAATGAAATCTTCAAATAAGTGATGTTTTCTCTCATTTAAGTGGCTGCTGTCTGACTTTAAAAAATAGTTCCTGCTGTGTTATTAACAGCTGAGATCAAACTAACCCAGTCTTCTTCCTGTCTTGTTTGCTTTCTGCCTTTCTTAGTGCAGGCATTTAGCACCAGCTGTTTCTAGGCAGTACCACTATGTAGACTGGATATATGGCAGAGGGCTGGGGTTTTATGATCCCTTCTGCCCTGGTTTGAGGAAGCAGCAGTTTTATGTTAAATAAGCATAAAGAATCAGAGCTGCCAGAGGTGTTTAGTTTAATTTTAAAAAAAGCCTTCATTATAAAGCAGTAAAGTTTTTTTTTTTGTTAAAGCTTTAAAAATACCAGGAATGGAATGTCTGGTCCCTGCTGAAAGTAAGCTATGTGGCAAGCGATCTGTGTTAGAGCTATCACCTTGTTGAGCAGGGGGAGAGACTTTAGCAAAGACAATTTCTCCCCAGCGTTCATTAGGCTTTGGCATTAAATAGCTAAACAAGGGACAAACTCCCTTTCCCCTCACTTCCTAGAGCTTTTTTGCTCAGGTCACATCATTGGTCCCTATGTAAGATAAGATCTGTTTAAATAGAGGCAGAACTTGGTTATCAAGAGGCAGGAGAACAACCACCCAGTTTTCACCTTATCCCCTCCCACTCCATTTAGTGTCATCTTTGTGTCTCCTAGCACTGGCATTGAAGAGCACTTTTGTTTGTTGTGGTGTGGTCTTGTTTTGTGTGCATATCTTTAAAAAAAGGGGCTAGTCAGCTGGAACTTCAGCAAAATAAAATGACTGTCTTTAGGATCTTTAAGTGGCTGCAGGGGAATGTCTAAACTCTGCTCTAGATCTTATTGTCTGCTTCATGGTTTTGTTTTTTAAATAGTTCAGCAGCCCTGAGTGCCTTTTACCTTCAGCATACTTTACACAACATTAAGTGCAGAATGAGAATAAGGAATTTAAAAGATACAAAAATTCAATTGACTTTTCCCCAGTCTTTATGTACAGGGGAAGGGAACATTTTGCACAGAAGCAGCTGAGAAATTGCTGTTCGAGTAAAGGCCTGCAGATTCCCCAGATTATGCTAAAGCTTCCTGTAATCTTCCCTCAAACAAAACCAACTCTGACCATTGGCAGCCACTGGCTCATGGATGGGATAGTTACTCAAACTGATGAAAGGGGGAAAAGTTAGAAATCAAGAGGACCAGATTTTCCTACTACCCCATACTCTCCAGTAAAAATCCTTTAGCTAAGACTCCCTCCTGAAGTATGTAGGAGACCAAGCCTGCCCAGAGCAAGCCATTGGGGGGGCAGGGAGGCAAGGCAGGTCTGACCCAGCTCCCTCTGATTAGTGGTCTGAGTCCCTAGAGTTTCCATTCACTTCTAGGGCTCCCTTCTGCAATTGCCTAGAAGCTGACTGTAGTAGAAGGGGAGGAAATAAGCCTGCTTGGGAGCCATGTGGTCCTTATCTCAGAGGCAGCAGGGATCAGAGACTGAACAAAGATTGCATCTGTTCTGCAACGAGAGAAAGAGAAAGTAGTTTGATGGCTGAGCCTGGGCCATGATCCAGGCTCTGGCTCTGCAGCCTCAAAGGGTTAAATCAGCATTCCACCACCATTGCTATCAGTGTCCTGCTCTCAGGATCACTCCGCTACCAATGAGAGCTTGTTCCAAAAATGTAATACTTCCATTCTAATTTTCATTGGCCAAATGTGGTGTTCAGTATCAGCTAGAGGATAAATTTCTTAAGCAGCCAGGAGAATAACCCTGCTCATAGTTGAATTTCTCTCAAGTACTTATCTTAAAAAGGGAGCTAGATAGATTCACAGAAGATAGGTCCATCAAATGGCTATTAGCCAGGATGGGCAGGAATGATGTCCCTGGCCTCTTTTGCCAAAAGCTGGGATTGGGGGACAGGGCATGGATCACTTGAGGATAACCTGTCTGTTCATTCCCTTTGGGGCACCTGCCATTGGCCACTGCCAGAGGACTGGATACTGGGCTTGATGGATCTCTTTCCCCCTCCCCCCCCCCTTTTCTCCTCTGGCCTAGGTTACAGCTCAATGAGGCACAGAGCCACCCTTTCTTCTAGGGTGGAGCCTTTACAAGTTCCATCTTCTTCAGCCATCCAGTCTAGCCCTCTGTATTTTCTCCTTCCCCTGGTCTGTCCACACACTTATTACCTCTACAGTTCTCTTACTAGTGTAACCTCACAACAAGTCTTGGGAGACCCCGCTTTCCAGCATCACTCATCCTAGCTCCAAAGCCTCAGCGGGGGCTGCTGTCTCTTGGTATGTACCTGGTTTGCTCAAGCTCTGTCTCACTAAGTCGAGGGCCTCCTCAGATAGAGCCCGTACCTCTTCCTGGAACTTTCTGCACCCTTCTGGTGTCAGCTTCCACAGGCGTGACTTGCGGTTGCCCTCGTTGCACACAAAGTGGGAGGTTTTTTCAAAGCTGCTACTGAAGCACAGATTGTGACGAATGGTGTTTTTCCAGCCATCTGGGGCTGTCTGGAAAAAGGGAAAGTGCTGCCTGCAGAGAGAGAAAAAGGGCACAGAGCTGGGTTCACAAGCAGGACAAGCCTAGAGCACAGAATTGGCTACACTGGCCACTCTAGTCATGAGGTCAATGTTTCTTGTCACAACCAGAGTGCACCTGATCATTTGTGGAACATACATGGATGTAAGAAGATGAGATTCTTCCCAAGCCCCTGTACCATTAGGTTTGGCTGGACCAATTGAACAGAGTCATGTTAAGTGGCAACAGGCCAGAACTAAAACTCCAAGTCTGAATGCTTCTGAACTTGGGCATTTAAATAAAAATCCATGTCCTCTCTAATGGGAGCAGAAGGGAAGTGACTTGCCCAGTGTCTCATGGTGAGTCAGTAGTAGAGCTAAGAATAGAACCCAGGAGTCCTGACTTCCAGTCCCCTGCCCTAGCCATACTTCCTCCCCTAGTAAAAGCTAGGACATATACCCATGCCCCTTTAAACTCCCCCTATCCCAGCATGGGGGAGTTAGGAGGGCTGTGGGTACCGTGTGAATTGGTAGATCTGCTGCACAGTCAGGCTGCCTTCTGCACTGTTACGCAGGGCCAGGGTGATGAGGATGCAGTAATTAAGGGGGGGCCGGGGCCATCCCCCTTTGATTTTGGTGCTCGCCTGCAGGATGTACTTGAGCCTCTTGCTCTGAGATCTGGGGACCTTTGGTTTCCGGAGTGCCAGAACAGCCTTAGATTTGGGAGTCTCCATTTTCTGAGGGAGTGAGATGTCCACCGATGAGGCATCTTCATCCTCGAACTAGGGACAAGAGGGGTGGAAGAGATGGGTTAGGGAGTCAGTGAGTAGACATGATGCGTGTGGGAAGATGCACATCAGCAGCCAGTGTGTAATGAGTTTGGGCCTCAGTCCAGTTCCCAGTGGTGATGTGTCCCCATCACAAATGATGTAACTGACCCATTTCTATCTGTTTCAGCAGAAGGGTCACATACTGAATGGGCTATGGTAAACGAGCTCCTCCCTACGTCAGGCCTGAGGTACATACGGCTACCTGGGCTATCCCTGTTCTGTGGATAGGAAGGACTCCAGTTTCCAGTCCAGCATCTTGTACCTTCTACCAGCCATAATTTGGGCTGAATCTATGCATTCACTTCTGCTGCTCATAAAACAGGGCATGAGCAAGTTTAGTGCTATCTTGGGATGCATGAATCACAGAGACCAAGCAAGTCCAAGCATGTAATGCCCAACACTGTCCACACAGAGTCCTGTGGCACCTTTAAGACTAACAGATGTATTGGAGCATAAGCTTTCGTGGGTGAATGCCCACTTTGTCGGATGCATGTAATGGAAGTTTCCAGGGGCAGGTATAAATATGCTGGCAAGAATCAGTCTGGAGATAACGAGAACTAACCTCATTATCTCCAGACTGATTCTTGCCAGCATATTTATACCTGCCCCTGGAAACTTCCATTACATGCATCCGACAAAGTGGGCATTCACCCACGAAAGCTTATGCTCCAATACATCTGTTAGTCTTAAAGGTGCCACAGGACTCTATTGCTTTTTAGAGATCCAGACCAACACGGCTACCCCTCTGATACTGTCCACACAGCTTCCCCTCTGCCACATACCTTCTCTGCCTCACTGGATGATGACAGCAGATCCTCCTCAGAACAGTCAAGGTTGGAGTAATTCAAGGAAGAGCTTGGAGAAGAAAACCCTGGAGCAGCAGCAGCTACTGAAAATGCTGGGCTACTGGGTCCTGGCATGTCCACACTGGGACAGCTGACAATGGGGCAAACCAGATTGGGGTTCACCCACATCCACAGATGGGGCTGCACATAAGATTCTGCTGACAGAGAAGAAGCCAAATCACTCTAACACCATCTAAGGGCCTCTGCAACAGACAGGACTCCTGCCTCCTGGGAACAGGGCTGGGCTAAGGCTAAATAGGAAGTAGATCCAAAATCTCAGGGCTCTCCTAGCCCTAAAACTCTATGCTGTCAGTCCCCCCCCCCCAACCAGCATTCATCTCCATATCTTACGGAAAATGGATTTTTCCCCCCTCCTGTTCTGTGATCCCTCACACCACCAGGCCTTGTCCCTTGCTCACCCTGTGAGTTTTAACCTCCTGTCGGAATAAAATTGTCCGACACATAGAAAAACAAACTGTTGAGCAATAGTCAACATGGTTTCTGTAAAGGGAAATCATGTCTTACTAATCTATTAGAATTCTTTGAAGGGGTCAACAAACATGTGGACAAGGGGGATTCAGTGGACATAATGTACTTAGATTTCCAGAAAGCCTTTGATAAGGTCCCTCACCAAAGGCTCTTATGTAAATTAAGCTGCCATGGGATAAAAGGGAAGGTCCTTTCATGGATTGAGAACTGGTTAGAAGACCGGGAACAAAGGGTAGGAATTAATGGTAAATTCTCAGAATGGAGAGGGGTAACTAGTGGTGTTTCCCAAGGGTCAGTCCTCGGACCGATCCTATTCAACTTATTCATAAGTGATCTGGAGAAACGGGTAAAGAGTGAGGTGGCAAAGTTTGCAGACAATACTAAACTGCTCAAGATAGTTAAGTCCAAAGCAGACTGTGAAGAACTTCAAAAAGATCTCACAAACTAAGTGATTGGGCAACAAAATGGCAAATGAAATTTAATGTGGATAAATGTAAAGTAATGCACATTGGAAAAAATAACCCAACTATACATACAATCTGATGGGGGCCAATTTAGCTACAAGTCAGGAAAAAGATCTTGGAGTAATCTTGGATAGTTCTCCGAAAATGTCCACGCAGTGTGCAGAGGCAGTCAAAAAAGCAAACAGGATGTTAGGCATCATTAAAAAGGGGATAGCAAATAAGACTGAGAATATATTATTGCCCTTATATAAATCGATGGTACGCCCTCATCTGGAATACTGCGTACAGATATGGTCTCATCTCAAAAAAGATATATTGGCACTAGAAAAGGTTCAGAAAAGGGCAACTAAAATGATTAAGGGTTTGGAACGGGTCCCATATGAGGAGAGATTAAAGAGACTAGGACTCTTTAGCTTGGAAAAGAGGAGACTAAGGGGGGATATGATAGAGGTATATAAAATCATGAGTGATGTGGAGAAAGTGGATAAGGAAAAGTTATTTACTTATTCCCATAATACAAGAACTAGGGGTCACCAAATGAAATTAATAGGCAGCAGGTTTAAAACAAATACAAGGAAGTTCTTCTTCACGCAGCGCACAGTCAACTTGTGGAACTCCTTACCTGAGGAGGTTGTGAAGGCTAGGACTATAACAGAGTTTAAAAGAGAACTGGATAAATCCATAGAGGTTAAGTCCATTAATGGCTATTAGCCAGGATGGGTAAGGAATGGTGTCCCTAGCCTCTGTCTGTCAGAGGGTGGAGATGAATGGCAGGAGAGAGATCACTTGATCATTGCCGGTTAGGTTCACTCCCTCTGGGGCACCTGGGATTGGCCACTGTCGGTAGACAGGATACTGGGCTAGATGAACCTTTGGTCTGACCTGGTACGGCCTTTCTTATGTTCTCCCTTCCCCTGCCAGCAGCACCAGAGTTGCCTGCAGCCCCACTACCCGGGAATCACCGAGCTACTGGTCTGGCAGCAGCCAATGGATAAAGGAGTACATAATACTCCCCTCAGAGCTGACCTAAGCACCTCTGATCCTTGGAGAAGATCAGATCCAGATGTGCTCTCCATTGCTGGTCCATCTCTCTGTAACCAGATGAATGAATGCCCCTTTACCTACACATCTGCTTATGGCACTATCCCTTTCCCCCAGGACAGTACCCTGCTCATGGCTCACCACCAGGCTGTGTGGACGGGAGGGTCTCAGACAGTTCCTTGGGGAGCGAATTCCTGCGCACCTGTCGCTCACACTGCCACTTCAGCATGTGATGGTTCAGTTTTTCATCTGCAGCTGGGGGGAAATGGAAGTTTAGAGACAATGTGGTGAATTGACAGCACTGACATCCATCTCCCTCCTCTTCTCCACCCCCTCTCTCTTCTGAGCATCAGGGCTTTGAGACACATCCTCAGTCTAATTTGGGTTGGGAAAAAGGCCCTTTTCTGTATCATGATGGGTCACCCAGTTTGGGCTACACAGGTTGCTCTCAACCTTTCCAGACTACTGTACCCCTTTCAGAAGTTTGATTTGTCTTGCATACCCCCCCCCCCAGCTTTCATCTCAATTAAAAATGACTTGCTTACAAAATCAGACATGAGAATACAAGAGTGTCACAGTACACTATTACTGAACAATTGCTTACTTTCTCATTTTTACCACATAATTGTACTTAATTTCAGTGTATAGTATATAGAGCAGTATAAACAAGTCATTGTATGAAATTTTAGTTTGTACTGACTTCATTAGTGCTTAAACCAAAACAGCTGGTCAAAAAGGGACCCTCCCTAGCCCGGTGAAAATGAGTGAGTGAGGGTGGGGGACAGCGAGTGACAGAGCAGAGGGGGAATGGAGAGAGCGAGGTAGGGCCTCGGAGAATGGGCAGGGCAAGGTTGTTCAGTTTTGTGCGATTAGAAAGTTGGCAACCCTATAGCCTGTTGTAAAACTAGGGAAATAGCCAAATGAGTTGATGTACCTCCTGGAAGATCTCTATGTATCCCCAGGGGTGCCCCTGGTTGAGAACCACTGGGCTGCAGACATCAAAACCCTCATCCTGCAGTTGGACCCCAGCAGAATAGGGACCCACGTGGGCTTAAGGGTCAGATTCCAGGCCTAGAGCCTAAGATTGTGACTATAATGTTTTTAGGGAGATGCCAGTCCCAGCATTTCCCCTAGTATAGTCCAAAGCCCTACAATCTATGTACTAAAGATTCATAAGAATTCTTTGAGACTGGCACATTACTAGAGAGATTTAGAATTAGACTGGCCAAAGCAACAAATCATAGCAACAATGGTGGAGCTGAACATGAACTAGACAGGACATACTAGAAAGGTTTTTTTTTCCCCCATTCATAGAGTCAAAGGCCAGAGGGGGCACTGTCATCATCTAGTCTCACCTCCTGCATAACTCAGGCCATTGAGCTTCTCCCAAATTATTCCTGTTTAAACTATAATCGCTTCTCAGCTCTGTGAGCTGAGGGGTGAAAACATTATCTACTATCTTTTATCAAAACATCTCCTGTGATAGTTCCACAATGTTGAACTAGAATCATGAACAATCACATGTATCCAGCACTGGCATCTGCTCTAGCCCAGTCAGTGCTGCTAGTTCTATCACATGCCAATATGTTTTCTGGATTGCTCTCTGGAGATTTTTATTTAATTGAGCCAGTCTTACCAGCTCTCTTTAGGATCTCCCCCGCCCAATATCAGAGTACCTGTCAGTTATTTACAGTTTAATCTCCAGGTTCTCCTAAATTTGTATACATTTTGAAGTTCATAGAAAAGAAAATTTTAATTTAGCAGTATTTAAACTCTTTGATAGCAAGACAAGATATGGTTTTTAAATGAATTTCCATGCTAGTTCAGATTTCTATCTCCAGCCATCAGAGAGTCATCTTTTCACCTGGAAATTTCACAGCCAAGAACATACACATAACCAAAGCATCCAGAACCCAAGCCTCTCAGAACTCCTTACCTTGAGGAAACTGATCAGTGGTGGTGGTTAGCTTGAGCTTCTCCTCCATATCCCAGTCCTCAAGGCCACATTTCAGATGCAGGCTTTCCCAAAATGTTTTGTTTTGAAAATTCAAATACATTTTCTTATAATCTGCAAAATAACCCACAACTGCTGCATACCCTGAATGTTGGAAGGAGGCTACAGAGCAAGTCAGAGAGAGTTAACCACTGCTAACTTTTAACTCTCCAGTTCTGCTACATGTGATTTGAACTCACTTTATATTAAAAAGAGAGACCATGGAAGAGATTTGACCAGGTGAATTAAAGGCCTCTGTTTCACACTTTTAAATACCCATTAAAGACCTTTCTAGGGACTGGATGATTAGTATCAATGAAGCAAGCAATCTACTTGAGAATAAAAGAGCTATCACCTGAGGGGCTTTTTTTTTTTGTCTGTCCTTTTAATCTAAATTCTTGATAAATGCTCAGCTCCTTAGTGAGGTTAGCAGAGCTTTATCCTAACGTTTCTGGAAAAACAAGTGTAAAGGAAGAGATTTGCAACTGTCCATAATATAGGATCATCCATAGGTTTGTGGCCTTTATGGTCTGAGAACTCAAATACTTTTTGGAGGACATATAGGGACTTTGAGGTTAGTTAGTTTAGCAGACACAGAAAAGCTCTGCCTCTCCTCCTTTTTGGACGGTTTAATTTCTTCTCTTCTTCTCCCACCTCTTGTTCTTTTTTTCTCCTCTTCAGTCCCAATTTCTTCTCCTTTCCATTTCCCTCCCAGTCTCTTATTCTTAATCCAGCTCCTTCCCTGCCAACAACTTGCTGCTTAGCTTCCCCCTCTGCCCTTGCCCCTCTCTCCAGAGCTCTAAGATAAACTCAACAGACTTCCTTGTAACCCAGGGGTAGGCAACCTATGGCACGCGTGCCAAAGGCGGCACATGAGCTAATTTTCAGTGGCACTCACTGCCCGGGTCCTGGCCACCGGTCCGGGGGGCTCTGCATTTAAATTTTAAATGAAGTTTCTTAAACATTTTAAAAACCTTATTTACTTTACATACAACAATAGTTTAGTTATATATTATAGACCTATAGAAAGAGACCTTCTAAAAATGTTAAAATGTATTACTGGCACGCAAAACCTTAAATTAGAGTGAATAAATGGAGACTCGGCACACCACTTCTGAAAGGTTGCCAACCCCTGTTGTAACCTCATTTTGCTGCCAGCCCACCAGCAGATTGAGCAGGCTCTTGTCCTGTTCACTTTGCTGCTCTGCTCCGTGCCTGAGCTAGGCAAGAGCTGTGGTACACATCAATGTGTAGAAGATTCTCCTATTGGCCTCACTTTGCTACAAATGTCTTTCTAGGTGAACAGGGCAAAGCATAAGCAGACCAAGCAATTGCTTAGGGTGCCAAGCAACTCAAGGGGGGCCCCCTGTTAATTATTAGTATGTGTTGTGTGGGCAGGGGCAAAAATATTCCTGCTTAGGGGCCCCAATGGGCAGCACCAGCACTGAATTGAGGAGGGTGAGCGAGGAATAATAATGCTTGATATTTATACATACCTCTACATCTTCAAAGGTACCTAACTCTAATTGAAATTCTGGAACTTTTGAGAATCTGTGCCTAACACACTAATTTCCGTCAGATCCTATCATCACCGAATGGGGTCACTACAGAGTGAGGAGAGTCTTTGTACCCTGTTTATTGTAGGGTTGCTCCTGGGCTCTGCATCCTGTTTGCTGTTGTAGGGTTGTTCTTGGTCCTCCAGGGCAGCACTACAAGAGCAGGAGATGTAAAATTACAATCTAGCTTCACTAGTGCAGAATTACACTCTCATTGGGCACATGGGGACCCTTTCTAATGTCTCTTTGACATGGAGTTTGGATAATATTTTTTTTAAATCTCCCTAACTGGTCATGTGATGCAATGGTGCTGTGTGCCAGCAGAGGCCAGTGGACAGAGGTGGGAACTGGTTCTGGTGAATACATTGGAAATGTTATTTGCTAGGAGGGATCAGCATAACCAAATTATCAAGGGAGTCCCATAAAGTAACAACATCAGCATAAAAGGTCCTGCTAAAGAAGAAGTAGATGTGCGTGTATTGTGTATCTTTTCCAAACTGCCACAGAAAAGTGAAGGATACACTTGTTGCTTCATTCACTCCTTTTGTTCCTTGTAATTGTATCACATACACCTGGCTCCTCACCTAATCTGTGGTGTAAACTATGCAATTCAGATGTTGAGCGTGGTTTAATTTAATCCTCCCCCAACCCCACACACACTCACCCTCACAGTGGCCTGGTCCCTATCAATTCCCCATGCACACCCAAGACAAACCATCTCTTCTCTCCTTATAGTTTGGGGCCTCTTCCAAAGTGCCAGAGGCCAGGTCATGTTCATAGAACATCCAGATGCAAGAGCTGCATTTTCTCTGCAGCTTGGGGTTTGGATCCAGCCCATCTCTGAGATATGTTCCCTCAAATAATTTGCCATGTTGTCCCTGGTGAGAGAGTGGTGACCATAGCTATACGGAGAGGGTAACCAGTGGTGTTTGGCTTGGCTACTAGACAGTACAAGCTGGTGCTTGGGCTCTTCCAGGTGGGAGAGCTTCTCCTGCTGATATAGCTACTGTCACTTGTGGAGGTGGTTTTATTATGTCAATAGGAGAGCTCTCTCCCATCAGCATAGAGCAGCCCCAAATCTCCATGACACCCAAGGGACCTCCAGCAGTTGCACTGAATGCGACTGGAATATAAAGGGTTAATAGCTGCAGTACTGATGTGAGGCCAACTATCTGCAGGTGTGTAGATCAGTGGGTGATGAGTATCAGGTGGCCATAAATAGGAAGGGGGAGGGAGGGAAACTTTAGGGCTGGAACAGCAAGAGTAGGTCAATGTACCTTGTCTGTGTTGTACGAATGGGAGTACTTTGTTCCTGTAAGAGGAGGCCTTTTCTCTGAGGTACTTCAAGCACTTTAAAGATGCTAATTGAGGGTGCCCCCTCCTAGCACTGCTGGGTGTTGGCAGGATCTCCATAGTATAAATGGGAAAAGCAAGGCACTGAGAAGAGTACTTGACCTGTCCAGAGTCAACACAATGAGACGGTAGCAGAAATGGGAACAGAACCCAGAAGTCCTAGCTCCAGTTGCCTGCTCTATTTGCATTATAGTACAGAGCTGAAATTTCAGAGCCACCTCAGGGAATAGCTCTTGTTATTTGTTACCTTCTCAACACCTATGAACATGTTAGAAACAGTTGTAATAATTTCCCCCCCTTGATCTTAGGGGCCAATGGTTTTCAGGTTCCCTTGGAGAATTTCAGAGGTTCTGTCCATTGTGTTTGTGATTTTTGCATTCCTTCTGGGGCCCTCCAATGATTTGCCCTTACCCCTATGATCAAGGAGAACCCCTTGGGATACCCACCCGGACTCACATTCACAAGGAGCTGGTTCCAGAACTCAAGCACTGCCTGTTTAGCTTAATAATAATCATTCCTTGCCCTGAGCAGCATTTCCCTACTCTATGATCTCCCAGTAGGGTGACCAAACAGCAAATGTGAAAAATTGGGATGGGAGTAGGGGGTAATAGGAGCCTATATAAGAAAAAGACTCAAAAATTGGGACTGTCCCTATAAAATTGGGACATCTGGTCACCCTATCTCCCAGCCCATTACAGTTTTGCCCAGCCAGGTCAGGATCCTCAACTGTCATGTACACATGAGGACATTGAGGCACCAGAGGGGCTGGGACTTGGCCAAGGTCACATGACTGTTAGTCCATGACTGTGTTAGTCCTGATTCCCAGTGTAAACCACAAGTTTATCCTTCCTCCCTGCAGCCATGTGTTTCCTTCTGGCCACCCTGTAGTTCCAGTGTCAAAAACTTCAAGAAACCAAGCAGCAGCAACAAAGGCTATGGACATCATAGTTCAGAGAAAACAGGGAGGAAGAGAGAACCTGCTGCTTTGGTCCTCCTGAAGAACATACAGAGTCAGAAAGGTCAGCAGTTGCACTGTGAGTGAAGATGAGAGCATACAGAGGTGACGGTGATGATCTGGAGGCTGCCTGGTATCAGAATGGCTCGAATCTTCACAGCCAGGTGAGTTTTACCTGCTCAGGAGACAACCAATGGGAGCAGCCCTGCTGAAAACTCTGACCAGATGCCCTTCCCTCACCACACCCACCCTGACATTGAGTCACCCATGTAACCCACACCCTGGGAATCCAGAGAGGCTTTATCAGGCTGCAGCTCAGAGGTATGGGGTCTTCTCCCCCAGCAAGTGCACTTCCCCCTGTTTTGCCCCTTGCAGGCAGCAGGGATATGGGCTTTCAGTACAGCTGGGAAGGGATCCCTAGATTTGACAGTGAAACTCTCTACTTTCTGGGCAACTGCAGGTCTTTGCAAAGGCTTCCACATGCGCTTGCAGGCAGAGGCAGTGTTTGCATGCAGGAGGAGAAGAGGGAGATGGGCAGCAGCAATTGTTGATCCAAGAAAAAAGAAGAACAGGAGGACTTGTGGCACCTTAGAGACTAACAAATTTATTAGAGCATAAGCTTTCGTGGACTATAGCCCACTTCTTCGGATGCATATAGCAAGGTATGTCACAGATGCTGGATTTTGCCAGGTTGTGAGGAGGAGATGAGATGGAATTCTGCCTGCTCTGCAGTTCAGCTGGTAGTGAGAGAATGGGAGGGAGGCACTGTGCTTTCTCCATGTGGTAGGAGGTGACTCGTGACTGTAAGATGAATCCTGCTGAGAGCTGAACACCAAGATTCAGGGTGCAAAGGAACTTGTCTAGAGCACCAAGGGAAACACTTAATCCCCTTATTTTCTCTCTCTCCTCCTCTCTCTGAGATCCCTGTTGTTCGTCTGAAAGGGGGCTGGATTTTTCTGACATAGAAACCAAGGGGTCAAGTCCATCCCTGGAGTAGGTGGGTGCAGGTCCCAGGGCTGAGTTTGGTCCAAGGACTCCTCTGGGCAAGATTCTCCTCAATCCCAGAGGGATAGCTCAAAACTAGCTGATCTCCTGCTCCCTCCACTCCTGGTTCTGAGAGACAGAGAA